GAAGGATTGCCGGAGCCCAGCAGGTCGAGGCTGCAGTGTCCGGGAGCGGCCACTGCACTCCAGTTTGGGCAACAGAGTGAAACTCCAACTCAAAAAAAAAAAAAAAAGCATTCCTCTCAAAACTAGAACAAGGCAAGGCGAAGATGTCCACTTTCACCAGGTTAAATAAAAAGATACTAATAGTAACTCAAAACTTCATAAAGAAATAAAGATCCAGTAATGGCAAATACATAAGCAACTATTAAAGCTAGTGTGTAACTCCACTTTTTGCTTTCAAAATACTTGAAGAGACTAATGTATATTTTTAAAAGTATTAGTATAAAATTAATATTATTTTAACTTTGGTTTGTAATTCCACATTTTGTTTCATTTCAAGCAATTTAGGAGACCAATGCATTAAAAATATGTTTTTGGACACACATTGTATAAAGATGTAATTGTTTATATCAACAGCTGAAAGGAGTAGAAATGGAGCTGCCAAAGGAGTAGGGTTTTATATGCTGTGAAAGTTAAGTTTGTATAAATTCACATTATAACATTATAACTCTAGGATTTCATCTGTAATCTCCATGGTAACCACAGAGAAAGTAGCTATAATATATGCAAAAAGGGAATGAGAAAACAACTTAAACGTTTCACTATTTAAAAAATCAACTAAATCACAGAAGACTGTAAATTAGGATAAAAAAGCTACAAGCATTTAGAAAAGGTAAATAGCAAGAATGTAGCAAATTAACAGAAGTCTCTTCTTATACATAATTACTTTAAATGTAAGTAGATTCGACCCTATAATCAAAAGACAGAGATTGGCATTAAAATAGCTTGATCCAACTATATGCCTTGACTTTGGGAAACTGAATGTTCATATGCAAAAGAATAAAATTGGACCTTTAATTAACACTATATATAATTAACTCAAAATGAATTCATGACCTATATGTAAGATTTAAAACTATAAAATTCTTAGAAGAATACATAATGCTAAAACAACACAACAGTGGATTTGGCAATGATTTCTTGGACACGACACTTAAAGCACAGGCAACAAAAGAAAAAGATAAAGTGCATTTCATGAAAACTTAAAAATTTTGTGCATCAAAAGACACTATTACAGAGTAAAACAGCGACTCACAAAACAAGAGGAAATATTTGTAAACCATATATCTGATATAGGATTAATATCTACAATACATAGAAAACTCCTAAAACTAAAACAACCTGATTCAAAAATGGGCAAAGAACTTGAATAGGAATTGCTACAAAGATAATATTCAAATAACCAACATCACATGAAAATATGCTCGACATCACTAAATATTAGGAAAATGCAAATGCATACTACAATGAGAAACTACCACCTCACACCCATTAGAATGGTTTCTAACAAAAATAAACAGAAAGTAACAAGTGTTGGTGAGGGTGTAGAGCAATTGGAACCATTGTGCACTGTTGGTGGGAATGTAAAGTGGTACAACTTCATGGGAAATAGTATGGTGCTTTCTTGGAAAAGTTGAAATTAGTATTGCCATATAATCCAGTAATTCCTTTTCTGAGTATATGCTCAAAAAAACTGAAAGTGCAACACTATTCACAATAGCAAAAACATGGAACCAACCATGCTGCCCCTCGAAACTGGACTGGATAAAAAAAAATGTGGTACATATAACACGATGGAATATTATGCAACCATAAAGAAGGACAAACATATGGACTTTGAAGCAACTTGGATGGATTTAGAGTCTTTAATACTCAGTGATCTATCACAGAAACAAAGAACAGAGTTCCATATGTTCTCACCGATAAGCAGACTCTGAACATTGACCATAATAGTATAAGAAAGGGATTGGCAGTTGCAGGATACTGCCTGGGTACCTGACCTCACACCAGGCAAAGTGGGGACCAAAGAGAGGCCCAAACATTATCTGTACAATGTCCACTTGTGTACCTAATCCTGAATTGTACTCCACATCTTTAAAATAAAAATATATATATATATATAAAAAATTGAAAGCAAACTCTCAAAGAGGTATTTGTACACTACATTTATAGCAGCATTATTTACAATTGCTAAAATGTAGAAGCCAACTAAATTACAGAGAGATGTCAGCAAGATAGCTAACTAGAGGTGCCTGGCCCTCATACCCTGTCACAAGAAAGGACAAGGCAATAAATAAATAGCTAAGTTTGACTGGAGGGTTGAAGAAAGCCCTGGAGTTCTGTTTTTCTTTCTGTCTTTGAATGCAGGCATTCTAATACCAGAACTCATGCTCTTAAACACAATATTATAAAAAGTCAAAAGTAGAAAGAGATGTATGTAAAAAGAGTTTTAATCTTAGAAATCAAGATCAATATATCTGATTATGAAGAAAATTTATCTTTGTAGGAAATAGAAATAAAAACAGAAGCAATGTCATTTAGAATGTTTGACATAATGTTAGGTTAACGTTAATGTTTTTTCACATATGAATAATCAATTGATAAAACAGCATTTATGGAAAAGCCATCCTACTCCATTGAATTGTACTGGGGCCTCAGTCATAAATTGACTGTGTAGGAGTAGATACATATCTAGGCTCTTTTTCATTTCATTGTTTTATTTATCACTGAACCAAATCACACTGTCTTGATGACTGAGACTTAATAAGTTTTCATATTTGATTGTGTGTGTCTTCCAGCTTTGTTCTTTTCTTTAAGATTATTTTGACTAGTTTTGGCATTTTCAATTTTGAAATAAATTTTAAAGTCACCTTGGAGCTGGGTGTGGTGGCTCACGCATGTAATCCCAGCACTCAGGGAGGCAGAGGCAAGAGTATTGTCTGAGCCCATGGGTTTGAGAACAGCCTGGGCAACATGGTGAAACCTTGTTTCTACAATAAATAAATAAATAAAAAATCAGCTGGACATGGTGGCGCATGCTTGTGGTTCCAGCCACTTGAAAGGCTGATGTGGAAGTATCACCTGAACCCAGCAAGTTGAGGCTGCGGTGGCCGTGAGCATGCCACTGACTCCAGCCTGGGTGACAGAGACTCAGACTAATAAATAAATAAATAAATACATACATACATACTCAAATAAATAAAGTCTGCCTGGAAATTTCCACCAAATAACTCACTGAAATTTTTATTGAAATTTCATTAAGTTTATATATCAATTTGGGGAAAAATGACATCTTTGTAAAATTGACTCAAACTATTCACATATTGCTCCACTTAACTAGGTTTTAATTTTGTATTAATAGTTGGGGTTTTTTCTGTGTAAAGTTCTTACACCATTTTATTCATGAATCTGAACTCTTCTTTTATACCATAAACAAAACATGAATTTCAGATTATGGACAGAACTATAAAAGGTAAAATAATAAGCTTCCAGAAGATGATGTAAGAAAATTTTCCTGATATTGGCATAGGCAAAGATTTCTTAAACATGACACAAAATTGAATTTCAGTAGCATTAAAATTGAGAATTTTTCTGTATTAAAAAATTAAAAAACACGTGTATACTATTGGTGGGATTATAAACTAATTCAATCCTTTTGGAAAGCTGTATGGAGATTTCTCAAAGAATTAAAAATAGAGTTACTATTCAACATTACCATTAATTCCATTTCTGGGAATCTACCCAAAGGAACATAAAATTGTTCTACCAAAAACACATCTGCACTCATATATTTATAGCAGCACTATTCACAACAGCAAAAACATGAAACCAACCCACATGCCCATCAAGAGTGGTCTGGGTAAAGAAAATATGGTACATGTACCCTATGGAATACTATGCAACCATAAAAACGAATGAAATCATGTCCCCTGCAGCAACATATATGCAGCTGGAGACCATCACTCTAAACAGGTTATCACAGAAACAAAAAACAGAATATCACATGTTCTCTTCTTAAGTGGGTACTGAACACTGGACACACATGGGCACAGAATGAAAACAACAGACACTTGGCACTGTAAAAGAGGGAGGGAGGGAAGTAGGATAATGAATACAAAACCACCCACTGGGTATCATGCGCACCGTGGCTGAGGGGGCAAACAGATGGGCTTGTCAATAGCCCAAACCTCACCTCCACACAATATACCTACTTAACAAATTTTCACATATGTGCCCCCTGATTCTACATTTTTTTTAAAGAAAAAGAATTAAGAGAATTAAAAGATAATCCACAAAAAGGTTAAAAAATTAGAAGATAAATATTTCCATAAAGTACTTATATCCAGAATCTATTAAAAAAAACTCAGCGGGGCATGGTGGCTCATGCCTATAATCCCAGCATATTGGGAGGCTGCAATGAGTGGATTGCTTGAGCCCAGGAGTTCGACTAGTGGGGACAACATAGTAAGACCTCGTCTCTACAAAATATCAAAAAACTTACCTAGCTACAGTGACACATGCCTGTAGTCCCAGCTACTCAGGAGACCAAGGCAGAAGAATTGCCTGAACCCAAGAGGTCGAGGCTGTGGAGAGTCATGATCAAATACCACTGCATTCCAACCTGGGCAACAGAGCGAGACCCTAATTCATAAATAAGTAAATATCTTACAAATGGATAAGAGCAAGACAGAAAGTCTATTTTTTAATGGATAAAATACTTGAAAAGTCACTTCAGAGCAGAATATATTTAAATGGCCAATAAACATAAGAAAATATGCTAAATATCATTGTCATAAGCTTGATGCAAATTAAAAACAAAATGAAATACCAATACACAGCTATCACAATACCTTTAAAAAATAAAAGCTCGGCCGGGCTTGGTGGCTCAGCCTGTAATCCCACGCTTTGGGAGGCCGAGGTGAGTGGATTGCCTGAGCCCACGGGTTCAAGACCTGCCTAGGCAACTTGATGAGACTTCACTCTACAATAAGTCAAAAAATAAGCCAGTCATGGTAGCCTGCACCTGTAGTTCCAGCTACTTGGAAACCTGAGGTGGCAGGATTGCCGGAGCCCAGCAGGTTGAGGCTGCGATGGCCGGAAGCGGCCACTGCACTCCAGTCTGGGTGACAGAGTGAGACTCCAACTCAAAAAAAAAAAGCTCTACCAAGTACAGACAACAATGTGGAACAACTGGAACATTAGAATAGCAGTGTAAATTGCTATTTGGAAAATTTTTTGGCAGTATCTACTAAAGTTAAACATATGACTATCTTAAGGCCCAACAATTACATTTTAAAAACCATATACTCAACAAAAACTAATGCATATGTACACCAAACATATATTCGTAGTAAAATGATTCATAAAAGTCTCAAAGTGAGCTGGGTAGGGTGGCTCAAGCCTGTAATCCTAGCACTTTGGGAGGCCGAGGTGAGGGAATTGCCTGAGCCCACGGGTTTGAGACCAACCTGGGCAACTTGGAAAGACCTCATCTCTATGATAAATCAAAAAATTAGCCAAGTATGGTAGTGCGTACCTGTGGTTCTGGCTATTTGGAAGACTAAGGTGGAAGGGTTGCCTGAACCCAGCAGGTCATTGCTGGGATGGCCATTAGTGTGCCACTGCACTCCAGCCCGGACTACGGAGTGACACTCCAACTCAAAAAAAAAAAAAAAATTCCCAAAGTGAAGCAATCTGAATGTCAATCAACAGTAGATAAATGAAGCTATAGTATAACATGACACTATACAACAATGAAAAGAAAATGAATTTTTGTTCCCTGCAACACCACAAATGAATCCTAGAAACATAATTTTGAACCAATTAAACCAGTCACAAATATGTCCTTTGTTTTTCAGTCATATAAAGCTGAAAACCGAATAAGCTAAACTGTGGTGATAAAAGTATAGTGGTTATCTTTGGGTAGAAGTAATAATTAAAAAAGAACATAAAAGAGAGACTTCTAGGGTGCAGCAAATGTTGTATTTCTAATCTGGATGCTGATTACACATTTTTTTCACCTTGTAAATAATATTTAGTGGGCATTTACGTTTTGTATACTTTTTCATGTTGACCATATTTCAGTAAAAAGATTTTCTTTTTAAAAGTTTATTCTATGACTTCAGAATGTGGTCATACAAAGACAGGGGAAAAAAAGCTGTTAGAGGAGAGGGGTTTAAGGTTTTTAGGGAAAAACAAAAATCTTGGAAGATCAAGGATAGGAAATTATTCAGAGACATAGTTATTTTAAACATTCTGTGAAGAGCGGTTTGGTTCATCTCCTTTCTTAAATTTTGTGATTTTAGTTCATCATGGCCAAAAAAAAAGAGGTGCTTGGTTTTCAATCTGTTATCCCACCTCTTACTGTTCAAGAAATTATATATCATATTCCATGGCTAGATAAAGACAAAGACCATATAAACTTCATCCAGGTAATCTTTTCGTTTTCTAGTAATATCTTTAATGCACCAACAAATACTATTTTTAAAAATACAAGTGTTTTACCATGATACTTTCTAGTTTTCAATTCTCTAAATATTCCCTATTTCCTATAGGACAAAATCAAAATCCCTTTAAATGATATGCACATCCTTCCATAATGTCTCCTCCCTATCTTTCCACTTTCACCTTCTGTTTCCCATTTGTTATTTACTTCGTAGACTCCATTTATATGGAACTACTCATGGTATCCCAGGCTCTTTACACTGTTTTTTTTTTAAATTTCATTCATCTGTGAGTCCTTTTACTTTTTTTGAAATACTGTTTGTTTGTTTGTTTCACTATTTTTTTTTTCCTTTTTGAACTTTCCTGCTTATTGCTTCTCTGGAAACACCCCCATCAGAGGTACTCAGAGAAGTGGGCTTTGAGGTTAACTGCCCCACCAGTAGAAGATCATCTTGTGGTCCCTCCTCATTATGGAGGATCAGTGTTGCAATGTTGTATCCAATATATAACTGTACTATAATATTAAGTACATTACATTATAATTATTTTTACATCTCTCTTTCCTACTATATTTTAGAACTCATCCATCTTTTGAATACTTAGTCCCTAGCATAATGCATAGTGGGTGCTTAATAAGCACTGGTGGAATAAGCAAATAAATGAATCTAACTTGTTCTAATAATATGTTTTTATATCTGTTTGATGCCAAAAGACCAACTATATTTTTCTACCTACTTAGAATATTTGAAATAAACACATTTTTTAAACTTATTACATCATCTGTTTAGAGCATGAGTATACATAAGACATATGTGTGTCATTTGCCTATGTCTGTCCCCATTACTTTTTACCCAGATGAAATATTTTCATCCCCTTATTAAGTTCTTATTCCTAAATTGTCTTGCTTCTAATCCAGGTATAAATATTCTATCTGAAATGCATATTTATGAATATCCATCTTCTTCTCTTTGTTGTTCATAATTCCTACTTTCTCTTACAAATATATCACTAATGTAGTATCTCAGATCTCATCAAATAATATCTACTTCAAAATATAAATATTTTTATTAAAATGTAAATATTTTTATTTACAATCATGGTTAAATATTGTTTATAGCTTATGTATTTGGTGATTTTTTTTTTAGGAAAAGGTCAAAGTTATAGCATTTGATTGTGGAAATGAAATATTTCAAGAAGATGATGAGCCCAGAGGAATCTATATAGTTGTTTCAGGCATGATAAAGGTAAGGCAGAGTTATTTAAAAATGTACTTGTGAAAATTTGTTTTTTAAAGAGCTTTATAAAATTGAGAAATAGTAACTTTCCATGTCAAAAACTACATAGTCTCTTTTTTAGGACAGGGCTACCCTTTAAATTATAATTTTCATGTTCAGACACATTGGATAACGCCGCCCATCACCTTTTTTAGACATACTTTCTCATAGATAACAAAAAACCATCAAAATAATGATCTTTTAAAATGGAAAATTATACTATACATTGTTATTCATCTTGTGTTTATCTAAGTTGAAGATTTAGCCATTGTGTGATGGGTATAGGCTGGTTGAGTAGAAGGAATCAGAAAGATCAGAGAATTTAAGAATACTTTGTGTCTAAGTCACTGCCAATTTAATAAAGTGACTTAAAAAGGAATGAGTAATAAGTATTCTGAAGATAATATGTGCATATTAGAATTGTTGAAACCAAAGTAGAAAATGTCATGAATTAGAAAGTTTTGGTAATACGAGTTCACCAGCAAATGTATTGTTCTCTTTCCTTTGTTCCTGAACAGCTTACAAGCTCAAAGCCACGTTTAGGAATTGACCAAATATTGGAATCAGAGGAAAAAAATCATCCAATAATTCACAAGGATTATGTGCTCAGTGGAGAAATAATAGGCGAGATAAACTGCTTCACTAATGAACCTATGCAATATTCTGCCTCCTGCAAAACTGTAGCGGAGGTCAGAAAACATCACCTATGACTTACTGTTGTATTTGCTAAATAGCTAATGTCAAGTTTAAGATTATTTTAGTATTTAATATAAGTTTACAGTCTGGTTGACAATTTTTTTTAAAGCAATGGCAAAGGACATAACTTGTTGCAGAATTATATTCATCTAGTATAATATCCAGCCAAAATGACTCATGAAAGTTAACCTACCATAATGGAAGAAATATTTATCCAGAGAAACTGGTTATATCAGCTACTTTCATGGGCAGCTTGGAGAGGGATGTTAACTATCAATACCATAATTTGAAAGATAAGGAAGCAGGAAAAATTCAGAGCTAGAATCTATTGCAGTAAGTCTCCTGCATCCAAACGAATTCCCTTCTGAGAGCACGTTAGTCCAATTTGTTCATAAGTTCACTTTGCAAGTCCACCAAATTTAGCCTAGGTACCCAACTAACACAATTAGCTATATAGTACTGAATTGTAATAGGCTTATAATACTTTTCACACAAATGATACATAAAAAAATAAACAAACAATAAAGAAAACATGTTTAATCTTATGGAATAGTACCTTGAAAAGTACAGTAGTACAGTACAGTACAACAGCTGGCACACGGGTGATTGAACATGAGAATGCAAGTTTGAATCTTTGAAAGTTCACAACTTGAAGGTTCATATATAGGGGACTTACTGTAATGGAAAAATTGAGTAAAATGAATGAAAGTTTTCCATACACAATTAAAGTCAAAATTCTCAAAGTACCTGAGGCTCCCACTAGCCTAATTTTTAGCTCAAAAAGAATGATTATAAACAATCGAACCCCATCAATATGTGAAACTCCATAAATTGATAATAATACCAAATTTGGCTGGGTGCAGTGGCTCACACCTGTAATCCCAGCACTTTGGGAGGCTAAGGCAAGAGGATTGTTTAAACCCGGAAGTCTGAAACCAGCCCAGGCAACATAGCAAGACTTAGTCTCTACAAAAAATTTTTAATATTAGCTGGGTGTGGTATTGCACTCTTATAGTCCCACTACTCAGGAGACTGAGCTATAAGAATCACCTGAGCCTAAAAGGCTGAAGTTACAATGAGCCACAAGCATGCCACTGCGCTCCAGCCTCTGTGACAGAGTGAAGTCCTGATTCAAAATAATAACAACAATAATAGTATCAATTTTTTATGTCCAATTAGGTTGCTAGGATATCATTTTATTATTCTAAAAATGGATTTTTAAGAGACAGAATTAAACATTTATCCTGTCTTTCTTCTATGAACTCTTTCAAAGTGACCCCCAAAAAATGAGGAAAAATTATCCTGTGTGGAACAATTCCTGCTAACAAATATATAGTGAGAAAATTTTAAAATCTCCATTTTGCCACCACTAATAAAATAATGAGTCTAGGAAACAACTAACAATTGATTGATGCCAGCATCATGTTTTTAGGAAACTTTATAATGAAAGGAATATCACCTAAAGACGTTGGTCAACCTTAGCATCACTAAAATGGGACAACCAGTCATGGTGTGCCTCATGATGTGATGCAGCAAAAATACTACCACTACTTGTGAAGCCTTCTCACACAAGAAAAGAGAAAACCTGGAGCTCTAGATTGAAAGTCTCCAGACTGATCTGGCTAACAGAAGATACAGAAAGTTAATTAAGCAAGTTAATTGACACCAAGAAGGAATAAGCTAAATTTAGAATGTGGGAGATTCTAGCCGGAAAAATAACCTGATTTTTTCTACAAACCAATGGCATAAAAAGTGTGTGGGGTGGCTGGGCACAGTGGCACATGTCTGTAATTTCAGTCTGTAATTTCTTCCAGTGGGATAACTGCTTGAGACCAGGTGTTTGAAACTAGCCTGGGTAACGTAGTGAGAGCCCTGACTCTACAAGAAATAAAAATAAAAATAATTGAATTGATAGATACATTTTATTAGGTTTCCAAGACATAATATGAATCTTACATAATTACATTTTTAGCTTTAATGTTACATATAAACAAGAAAACCATATTCCTTAAATCATAGGTGCACAGGACAAACCATATTTATATCCTTTTTTCCAGATGTGTTTTATTTCCAAAAATCATTTGTATGAGGCTTTGGAGCAATGCTGTCCTCTCATTGAACAAAAAGTGTGGCAAAAAATTGGACTTGCTATTACTGCCAGAAAAATCAGGGAACATTTATCTTATGAGGTAAGAAGATATTTGTATAAACAGCTCCTTCGCTCTGAATAGAATTGCATTAAAATATTGACTATAAGTTTATATTAAACTTCATAAACAGTAATAGACTATAAAATTGTGTTTTTGAACAGGATTGGAACTACAACATGCAACTAAAACTCTCTAATACTTATATAAAAGATATACCAAAGAGCACCAAAACTGATATCTGTTATGAAAATGTAATCTATGTTATCCTTATACATGGAGCTGTAAAGGATTGTCAGCTACAAAAAGTTTATAAGGCACCTTTCTTGATTCCTAAAACATGCCAGCAGGTAAAGAAATATTGAATCAAGTCTTCAGATCAATATGCCATATATTCAACCATGTATTAACATCAGAAAAAGTATCACTGTAATCTTAAGCTTGTCACCTTCCAATTCTCCCCCTTTCCTCACCACTCCATCAACATTCACTCATTCCCACAGTCATGGCCACATACAACCATACACACTTTGGCACTTGGTAACCCAAGCATAAACTATTCTTGTCCAATGACTATGAAGCAGACCAAGCCGGACATTTGGCTACAGTTAAATGGTGGTATAATTATACACAGCAAAAGGAGGCTCATTATTTTCATTCACACGTTGTTGTATCAAAAACACTCTAGAAATTTTCTGCCAGATCCGTGCTGAATTAAGTATCAGTCGTATTTCTTCAGCTCATTTGAAAGTGGGTGAAAAAGTGAAGGTCTTCTCATATTTAAACAGTTAATTGAGTTACCCTGTTAATCAAAATGAGAGCCTGAGCCATGTGAAGAAGGATAGAACTGTATGTATGTGTAAGTGTATACATTCGTGTGTTTTGGGGGAGAATAAGAGAATCAAGAGAATCATATGTCAAATGATTCAGGGGGCATATAAAATACTGATACAGAAAGTAAATTGGAAGGGGAACTCAGAGTCAATTAAATTTGGCTTAACTATATTTAAGTGACTAATATAAGATAGAAACAGTATTAGATGCTGACGTGATGAAGACAGATGATACTTACAACTTATTCTCAATAGATCTCTTAACGGAAAGGAAATAAACAGATAAGTAAATATACTAATGAAATGTTTACAGCCAGGATGTAGATTCTGGACACAAGAAACAAGGGAGATGGTGCCACTCATGGTGGTTCACACCTGCAATCCTAACACTTTGGGAGGCCAAGGTAGAAGGATCGCTTGAGCTCAGGAGTTCCTATATTGCCTGGGCAATATAGGAAGACCCAAGCCCTACTTTAAAAAAAAAAAGTCAAGATGGGGGTGTGAGAGAGCCTGAGGTAAGAAATGGTCAAAAGAACATTTCCCAAGTGGACGTCACCAGCACTGATGTGATGCTTAATGGGAGGAAGTGAAATATTCTTACTATGGTAATCCCTACTTTTATTCTTGAACACATAACAGTTTTTGTGCTGGTTAGAGATTTAGACAGTCAAACAAGAGATTCTTGATACAGCCGAAGCTTGCTCAAATCTGTCTACTCCCCTAGACATAGAGCTCTTCTCATTGTGGATTTGGGTATCAACATAATTCAAAGCAGGTTGAAAACAACCACAAGGTATAAGAATTTTTTTTAAGTACAATATTTTTTTTTCTTTCTGTCTTTTTTTTCTTTTAATTTTTTTTTATTTTAAAGATGTGGGGTACAATTCAGGGTTAGGTATACAAATATTCATTATTCAGGTACCCTTGTTGATGAGGTGTGCCGTCCCCTTCCCCAGGCAGATTCCCACTACTGCCAATCCCACTTCCTCACTCTCCTCCTGGCAGTCTCCTGCTACTGCCAATCTTTTTCTTATAGTATTATGATAATTGTTCAAAGTTCACTTATGAGTGAGAACATGTGATACTCATTTCTTTGTTTCTGTGAACGATCACTCAATATTATAGACTCTAAGTCCACCCAGGTTGCTGTGAAGTTCATGATTTTGCTCTTCTTTATGACTGCGTAATATTCCATCGTGTGTATGTACCACATTTTTTTATCCAGTCCTCTTTCTATGGGTAGCACGGTTGGTTCCATGTTCTTGCTACTGTGAACAATGCTGCAACAAATATACATGTGCAGGTATCTTTTTTATAGAGTGATTTGTGTTCTTCCGGGTATATTCCCAGTAGGAGGATTGCGGGGTCGTATGGAAGGTCAATTTTCAGATCTTTTAGGAATCACTACACTGTTTTCCACGGAGGCAATACTAGTTTACACTCCTACCAGCAGTGTAAAAATGCTCCCTTTTTGCCACATCCTCTCCAGCATCTGTTGTTTTTTGAGTTATTGTTGATAGCCATCCTGACTGGAGATTGGTGGTATCTCAGTGTAGTTGTATTTATAAAATACATTATCTTTTAAAATTTTTGTTTGCTCTACAGAAAAATTCTCTGGGTGATTTTTTTTAAAGGGATGTTGATGATTTATTCTTGATCTTTTTTTTTTCATTTGTAATAGAAATAAAATATTTTTAAAAATCAATGAAAGTATATGGAATATTTACTTTCACAAAACCAACATATCCCAGTTTTTAAGATGTCTATCTTATTTATGTTCATTTACTGATATTTTCAATTTTCTCCCAAATGTTTAGAGACAGCTAGAAATAGTAGCTTACCAGAGTAATTGTTAATTGTATGATAGCTTCTCAGAAATGAACTTGCATTCTGTCAACTTTCAGATACAAGGCAATGAAGAGTTCACAAAAGTAATGATTGTTCAAGCTTCTATTAATACAAAAAACATCAGATTGAATGCTGGAAATTATGTATCTAAACATAAAGGTTCTCTTTCATTGAGATCAATGGGTGAGTTATATTTATTTAAGCAATTATAAGAATTTACTATTCCTTTATAAAATGAACATATACATATTTGGAAATTGTTGTATGCATTCTGCCTAGTCATTGAGAAATCCTTCTAGCTGCCATATTTGTTATTTAATGTGTGAGAATATTGAAGTTATGCTAAAAGATTATTGTATATTTTACCCAAAAGAATAAGTATGCATGATTAGCAAAATAACATGAAAAACAGATTAATGAGGGAATTACCAGCTCTTCCCCTAAATTAAAATACGCTAAATAGCAATAATAATACATATAGTGTTGTACAGTCTGAACAGCAAACATAACTCACTGGAACTAGATGGAAAACCTTGCTATAAAGACTTTTCTTCATATATATTTTGCATAATAAAAATTTAATCATAGCATAAATGATTATTTAATAACTACAATTGAGCCATTGGTTAAAACTTGGAAAATACATTTGAGATAGATTTAAACATTGAATACTAAAGAATTTAATTATTGAATAAATCATAATGGAAGTTAATATTTGTTATTTTTCTAAAGGGGAAATAAAGTAAATTTAGAAATATAGAAATTAATTTTAAAATTCTGAGTGTCAATAAAAATATCACCAGTCAGAAAAAGAACAAAGGACAATTTAGAGATAAAACTTACATTATAAACAAAATGTGAAAAATGTTCAACCCTATTAATACTTAACAAAACAAATGAAATTTTGGTATGAACCCTTTATCATCATGTAATTGCCTTCACTATCCTTTTACATTGTTGTTGGTTTGCAGTCTGTTTTATCTGACACAAGAATAGCAACCCCTACTTTTTCTTTTTTTTTCATTTTTATGGTAGATCATTCTCCATTGCTTTACTTTGAACCTATAGATGATAATGATAAAGGTTCAATCCAACAGAAAGTCTTAACTATCCTGTATATATATGCATCCATCACCAAAATTTATAAAACATTTACTGCTAAACCTACAAGAAGACTTAGATAGCCCACAGTAATAGTGAAGGACTTTAACACCCCACTAACAATTTTCGACAGGTTATAGAAACATAAAACTAACAAAATAATTCTTGACATAAATTTGACTCTTGACCAATTGGACCTCATAGACATTTACCCAAAAAAAACATGGACTATACATTCTTCTCTTCTGTACATGAAACATATTGTAAGATTAACCATACCAAGCATACTTTCTGTATAGCAGAATAAAAATAAAAATCAATACTGAGATGAACCAACAAAACCACACAAACACATGGAAACTAAACAACTCACTCCTGAGTGATCTTTGGGTAAATAATAAAATCAAAATAAAAATTTTTAAAAAATATTTGAAACGAATGAAAATAACATGATAAACAAAGTAAACCAAAATCTCTGGGATGCTTCCAAATCAAGACTAAGAGGAAATTTATAACACTAAATGCTCCCTTCAAGAAGACAGAAAGATCTTAAATAACTAACTTACATCTCACCTAAAAGAACAAGAAAAACAAGAACAAACTAAACCCAAAGTTAGTAGGAGAAAAAATTAACCAAAATCAGAACAAAACTAAATGAAATTTAAACCAAAATGTCACACAAAAAATCAATAAAATGAAAATCTGGTTCTATGAAAGGGTAGCATAATGGAGGGTAGGGAGAGAACAAATACAATCAGACATGAAAAAGACATTATAACCAATCTTACAATAATACTAAAGATTCTGAAATTACTGTAAGTATCCATATGCATGTAACTCAGAAAATCTAGAGAAAATGGATAAATTCCTGGAAACAGATATCCTTCCAAAGTTGGAAGAGAAGGAAATTGAAATCCTAAAAAGACCAACAAATCATGAAATTGAATCAGTAATTTAAAAAATCTACCAACCAAAAAATGTCCTTGGCAGATAGATTCACCGTCAAAGTCTACCAGATGTCCAAAGAAGACCTAGTACCAATCCTGCTGAAACTTCCAGAAATTGAGGAGGAAGAATAGCCCTATCAATCATTTTACAAAGCAGTATCATTCTTATACCAAAATCTGGCAAAAACACAACAAAGAAAGGGCTGATATTTATAATGAACATAGACACAAAACCTTCAACAAAATATTAGCAAACCACATCCAACAGCATATCCAGAAGATCATTCACCATGATCAGGTGAACTTTATTCTTGGGATACAAAGTTGGCTCAACATATGCAAATCAATAAACTTGATCTACCACATAAACAAAATTTTTAAAAGAGAACTACATGATCCTCTCAATAGATGCAGGAAAAAAAAATCAATGAAGTCTAAAGCCTCTTCATGATAAAAACCCTCAACCACCTAGACATCAGAGAAATACACCCCAAAATAATAAAAGCATCTATGACAAACTTACATCCGACATTACACTGAATGGGCAAAAATGGAAGGCATTTCCCCTAAGAACCTGACAAGCTTGTCCACTCTCACCATTCCTATTTAACATAGTACTGAAGTTCTAGTCAGAGCAGTCCGGCAAGAGAGAGAAATAAAAAGTATATAAATAGGAAAAAAAAAAAGAGAGCGAGAGAGAGAGAAAGTAGAATTATCTCTCTTTGAAGACTATATGATTCTATATCTAGAAACCTCAAAAGATCCTACCAAAAGTTCCTAGATTTCAGTAAAGTCTCAGGATACAAAATCAATGTTTAAAAACTAGTAGCATTTGTATGTACTAACAACATTGAAGCTGAGAACCAAATTAAGAACACAATCTCATTTACAATAGCTCCACAAAAAAATATCTGGGAATACATTTAACCAAGGAGGTGAAAGATATCTACAATGAGAACTACAAGACACTGCTGAAATAGAAAATGACACAAACAAATGGAAATATTATTCCATACTCATGAATTAGAAGAATCAATATTGCTAAAGTGTCTATACTGCCTAAAGCAATCTATAGATTTAATGCAAGCTCTATCAAATTGCCAACATCATTTTTCAAAGAATTGGAAAAAACAATTCATATGGAATTAAGAAGAACCCTAATAGCTAAAGCAATCCTAAGCAAAAAGAACAAAGCCAGAGGCATCACATTACCAAACTTCAAATTTTAATACAAGGCTAAAGTAACCAAGACATCATGGTACCATAAAATACATAAAATAGACACATGGTTCAATGGAACAGAAATAAAATTGCTCACCTACAACCACCCAGAAATAAAATTGCTCACCTACAACCACCTCCAACAAAGGCAACAAAAATAAACACTGGGGAAAGCACACCCTCTTCAATAAAGAATGCTGGAAAAATTGGTTAGACATATGCAGAAGAATAAAGCTGGTCCCATATCTCTTACCACATACAAAAATTAACTCAAGATGAACCAGATATTGAAGTGTAAGACCTCAAACTATAAAAATTCTAGAAGAAAACCTAAGAAACACTCTTCAGAACATTGGCCTAGGCAACAAATTTGTGCCCAAGTCCTCAAAGCAAAAGCAGTAGAAACAAAAATTGACAAGCGGGACCTAATTAAGCTCAACAGCCTCTGCACAGCAAAAAAACACGACAGAGTAAATACACAATCTCCAGAATAAGAGAAAATATTTGCAAACTATGCATCTAACAAAAGGCTGATATCTAAAATCTGTAAGGAAGTTAAATGAATCAAGAAAAAAAAAAAAAACACACAACCCCATTAACAAGTGGGCAAAAAACACGAACAGACATGTCTCAAAAGAAGACAAGCAACAGTCAACAAACATGAAGAAATGCTCGATGCCACTAATCATCAGAGAAATGCAAATCAAAACCACAGTGAGATAATATCCTACATCAATCATGATGGCAATTATTAAAAAGTCAAAATAAAAGATACTGGCAAGGTTGAGTGTATGAGTGTGGAGAAAAGGATATACTCATACACTGTTGCTGGGAATGTAAGCTAGTTCAGCTTCTGTAGAAAGCAGTTCTGAGATTTCTCAAAGAACAAAAAATAAATTTTCCATTTCACCCAGAAATACCACTACTGAGTATATACCCAAAGGAACATCATCTTACCAAAAGGACATCTTCACTTGTATGTGTATCACAGTACTATTCACAATAACAAAGTTGTGGAATCAGCCATGGTGCTCATCAATGGTAGAGTAAATAAAGACAAATGTGGTACATATACTCCATGGAATATTACAGATACATTAAAAAATAACAAAATCATGCCCATTGCAGAAACATTTATGTAGCTGGAGGCCATTATTCTAAGTGAATTAATGCAGAAACAAAAAACTACTGCATGTTCTCACTTAGAAGCAGAAAGTAAACACTGAGTACTTACAGGCAATAAGATGAAACAATGAACACTGAGGACTCCAAAATGGGGGAGAAAAGAGGGAAACAAATGTTTAAAAAAAATCTGAAATACCATGTTGACTATTTTGGTGACCAGTTTAATACTCATGTAACAAACCTCTACATGTGCCCCTGAATCCAAAATTAAATTTTCTTTAAAAAATTAAGAGATGCCAAAAAATAAAAATAAAATAAATATTTGGTCTACTTAATCAGTGAATTTTTAAAAGAATTATAATATCAATTGACCAAAAAAAAAGTAATGAATCTGATATGTATTCTTACTTTGTTAATACTAGTAGAAATTGTAAAGTAAGTTTATCAAGAAATTCCAAAAACCATAAAACTGTTTATAACCCTTGAATAAATAATGTCTAAGACATTTATTTTAAAAATATAAAATCAAAATGATAATTGAACATTAGTTAAAAAAATAAAAAAATCAGAAGTGACAGATCTCTGCAAGAAGAACTACAAAACTCTGATGAAATAAACTGCAGAGGACACGAACAAATAGATAAAAAATCCCATGTTCGTTGACTGGAAGAATGAACATTATTAAAATGATCGTATTGCCCAAAGTAATCTTCAGATGCAGTGCAATCTCTATCAAATTACCAATATCGTTTTTCACAGATTTTTTTAAAAAATCCTAAAATTCATATG